GACTATGCCTCAGGAGGTTTGTTGCAACAAAAAAAACTCAATAGTACAACAAACAAGGAAAGCAAACAAGTCCTTTTTCTGTTTTCCTTGTTGATACATAGCTTTGATATTGGCCGTTTTTTTCTCAGCAAGGGGATGTGTACATACATACCTGTGTGAGCTTTTGTTTGTATGTTTATAGGTTTTTGTGTGTGTGTGTGTGTGTGTCTTCAGTATCATTGCAATGTCCCACTGTTACTCTGCCATTATAAATGAGGCATAATAGACAGGACTTATTTGTCAGTGAATATATGTGTTGACTTTTACTGCTAATTTAGTATATATAGACACAGACAATCTACAAGAGACAGAGATGACTTAAGAAGGCTGAACTGCACGTCTTTACCTGTGGTTTGCATACATCTCAGTTCGTTATGTAGTACGTGGGTGTAATAAACACCTCTGCAGTGTTAGCAGTGCTAATGCCTGTGCATCTTTACCACTGAGCAATTTGCATTTCAAATCATCTCCAGAGAGCGCTGTAACTCTTAAGTCCGGGATAAAGCGATTCAAATGTGGAATTGCTCTAATGCTAATTTAATGTTCCACTCTCTTGGACAGGTGCAGAGTCAGGGGGAGATTGGCTACAAGAGAACAAAGTCCTCACGGAGAAGGTACCGTCCGCATACACAAACATAGGCACTCACCTACGTGTCGAGACACATTAATGAACATCCATATTTTTCCCTCTGGCTATAGTGTAATGTTCAATTTAATGGTCTAATGTTCCTTAATGACTGCTTTATGTGCATGGACTTATTGTGAATCTATCAACCTGAAGCACATCTAATCAGACAATTAGCCCTCATCTTGGGCTAATTTCCATGTATGTATTCATCACCATTAGTGGCTTTCTAATAGAAACACAAATGAATTGTCAGCTTTCTCTCACATAGTGCACACACACACCTATACAAACACACACACACACATACACACACATACACACACACACACACAAAACTCGCCTTCACTCCTTAATGAGGACATCAAATTGACATAATGCTTTCACTAGGCTAACCCTAAGCCCTCCCCTAATTTGATCCCCACAAGTGACTGTTGGTACCCACAAATATAGGACCTTTTTTTGGTCATCACAAAGATTATACAAATACACACACACACACACACACACACACACACACACACACACACACACACAACCCCGTTCAGCTATCTTAGCGAGGACCTTCATTAACACAATGCTTTCCC